GTTGTGACACTAAAATATGGGAGTTCCTTATAATCTTAGACATTTTCTGAATAAAATGCCAAAATAATGAATTACTAAGGATTTAGTTAATCAAATTTGTAAATTAACAATCTAGATCCTTCTGAGTTATAATTATTTGAAAAATACATATCTGTTGTCTTCAATGATTCCTTGACTCTTTTTCCTTTAACCAGGGCTCATTCCCAAATGTCCACACTTTTTATTAACTTATTAAAAAATGAAAGTACCTAATAATTTATTTTTTATCGAAAAATTTTTTGTTTTTTTAGATCAATATGGTGCAAATAACAGGACAGGCCTTGTTCATTCTGGATCCGGTCCTGAAGGGTCTCAACAGCATCCGACTGGAACCGAATCAACATCTCGGCGTTAATATATTTGTGCATAAAAATATATTTAAAACTCAGTGAAAAACAACAGAGATCTTTCTTTTAAAAAATTTTGCTCTTTAAAAAGAAATTTTTTTCTCCATTCTAGATTTACAAATTGCAATACGGGCATTTTTGAATTTTTTTTTCTCTCTTTTTTTTTATTTTAATTTAAATTCTTTATATACTCATTGAAAGCAGGGTTTTCAGTTAAAACGAGATGTTTTGAGGTTTTTAATTAAAATATTTAGAAAACCTTGTTTTTATTTTAAAAACCGTCCACTTATTTTTTCTTTAAAGTTAGCAAAGAAGAGAATATAATTAAATATTCCTTTATTTTCTCTGATCTTTTCTGTTTTTTTAACATTTTTAAATAAAATTCTATATTTAACTCTTTTTTTAAATGAAATATTTATTCGCTAAAACTGCCTATTATATTTTTTGAGGAAAAACATTTTCAAGTTTTTTTTCTCTGTTTTGGCTTCTCTTTGCTTTTAATGCCTCAAAATTTTTTTAATTTTTTGTATTTTGGATTGTAAAATTTTTTTGGGTTCCCAAGAAAATACAAAAAATATAAACATTCCTCTTCAATTTTCTCTATCATTTTTTTTGTTTTAATCTAAAACATCTTTAAATATGAAAAATTCACCTGCCAACTTTAAATCTCATTTTGTTTGGTGAAAATTTCAAGAATAAAATTTTAAATAAAAATTTATTTAAATTTTTTGTTATTTAAGAAAACTGATAATTCAAAAAATTGATATGTAACCAGAGGCTAAAAATCGCATCCGGAAATGGGATTGCGATTTTTACAGTCCTGAACACGCAATCCCGAAACAGATATTTCTATAAATATTAAAACTAACTACAATATTAAGCGAGGTGAGATTGAACGAATTTTTAGTGACGTGAATCGAGATTTCGTTATGTCAGAAAATTATATGTCGCCCTTTAATAACTACATATTTATACATAGATAAATTTATAAATTCTTATCTTAGCGGGCGTTGTAGCTCAATGATAGTCTATTTGACTACACAAAAACTGGCTGTTAGATGGTATAAAGTTCGAACCCGCGTAACATTTATTATTTTTTTTTTTCAAAATTTAATTAATTAATTTTAAAAATTTAAATTTATTTATATATGTAAAACAATATTTAATTTTTTAAAATATAAAAATTATAGCAAAAGAGAGCCAATACACAAATAGGGATTTCGCAAAAGCTGGGTTAGGCCAAAAGATTCCAACACAATTGGCCAAGGAATTAGAACACCAAATAAAAGCCAAACAAATAGTAATAAGGTTTATTTCACACAAATAAAATAGTCCAACAAGTAAATTAATGATAAGGCCACAAATAGGAACAAGAGCCACAGAACCAGAACAGAATAAAGCCAACAGAGAATGAGCTAATGAGAAAGCCAGCCAACCCAGAAAGAAGCCAAGAAAAGAAAAGCTAATGGGGGTTTGGAAGGGGAGATTATATAGGCCAGAAAAATAGGCGGGTAGACAGAAAAATATTTCGATCATTAAAGGCATAATAGGAACGATTAAATAAAAATGCACATATTTGAATGATACAAAAGAGTGGAAAATAAAGTTAAGTTTTAGAACAAAAGGACTAAAAATGTAAATAGAGTTTGAATAGATGTTTACAGCAAAAAATGATTTTTAGCCAGGTGAAAGTCCGAAAAAGGAATTTGCAAAAAGTGATGATTAATTTAGAATTAAAATTATAAAAATATATTTATTTTATTTTCCTCATCTTTAGTCGCTTCGCGACATTCCCGCCCGCGTCTAAAGTTTCATCCTCGATTTATTTTTTCCATCTTTCAAGTATTTTCTTTCTTTTCTTGATCTTCGGCACATCAGTCATCGCACATTTTCTGCTCTCTTTCAGTGCATGCGCCCAACCATCCATAGTACTGAACAAAATGACGACAAAGATCCAGCCTGGATTGATCGCGACAACGGTAGTGAACAGTGTTAAGGCTATCGAAGATCGAAGTAAGCTTTTTATGCGTGCTCTATTTAGGCCATGTTTCGCGGTCACTTCTTGTTCCATCTTTTCTTCTGTTTTACATTTCCAAAACTTATTTGTTGCGCGGTCAATCATCCTCAGAGCATTTTTATTGCCATCCAGAATCATAACAAAGGCGGCTAAGACTAGCACAAACATTTTCATATCAATCCATGAGCGGCAAATGGCAAAGAAATCTGGTGGTTCCAGTCTTTCTAGTTTTAGGCATTTTTTACGGTAGACGTGTACTTCACATTTGAGCTGATCATTTTTAGCAAGCAATTTTCGGTTAGCCTTTTGAATGGAGTTGACACGGGTTTTAGTCCCTTTATGGGTTCCACTTTCCTGCTCGCCATTAGATCGCCTTTGATTAGATTCATCCAATAGACATTTCAAACGTTTAGCTTTTTTGGACTCGTCCTCGGCTTTTTTGCGGGCCAACATCAATTCAGACATCAATCTCACTATCGTTTTATCTTTTTCTTGGAGAGCTTTCGTCTTTCCATCCAGCATCTTTTTAGCTTCAAACATCCCAGCCGGCTTCGAACAATGAACATCGCTTTTTCGCATAGGTTCCAACATTTGAGTTTTTGGCACGCATGAATAGCAAACCATGAAGTGGTGCTTTCCGCGACACTTACTGCACCGTCGATTATTCTGGCAATCAAAGGTTAGATGGTCATCCCTCAGGCAGTTAAGGCAACGATGCTGCTCGAGTAATTTGTATTTCCTCGCTTTTGGGTTGCTATATTTAGTACAGTGGCTCGGAAGGTGATTCCCTCTACATAATGAGCACTCCAGGCAACGGTTCTGTTCCACCACTCGATCCTTTTTAACCATAGGCGGCTGTGGCTTAGGCGGATGTGGCGTAGGCGGCTCAAGCGTTTCCCTTTTTTGGTTTCCAAGATCGAATGCACAGTTATCTGACAATTTGTTCATTTCAGATGGGCAAGAACTGTCTCTAGTAGGTGGGCCAAGATCCTCCATAATTAGTCCAATTGATACGGCCATTTGTCGGGCAAACTTGCATTGGGTAACAAAGTGCTGTTGAGAGGGTATGAAGTCTGACATGAACTCATAGGAAGGTTCATTAGATGGAAAATCCCTGTATAAATCTTCTTCCGCTAATTTCTTTAGCCCATGCAGTTTGGACATATGTTTGTTCCATTGGAGGTCGAGCTTCTCTATTTTAGCAATAGTTTCCACCAAATGCGATTTTTCCACATCTAGCAAACGGTAAGTGTTAGCATCTCGTTCCATCTTCGTTATACGCATAGCCTCTATAGAATGGAATTGCATCTCGCTCAGAGCGACCAACAAATCACTTCGGATTTTTCCTGACATTGTCGTCGTACAGATTAGCGGCAGGTGGCTTCAGAAAGTTGCAACAGTAGATAAAGCGCGTTCCAACAATAGATCAATAGTTTCGGCAATTGGCTCTTCTTGAATTGAACACAGGCTGCTCGGGGTTGTGATGCTGCACGAATGCTAGACCACAAGTTCCCGGCCGTTGCACCAAAAAAATATATAGCAAAAGAGAGCCAATACACAAATAGGGATTTCGCAAAAGCTGGGTTAGGCCAAAAGATTCCAACACAATTGGCCAAGGAATTAGAACACCAAATAAAAGCCAAACAAATAGTAATAAGGTTTATTTCACACAAATAAAATAGTCCAACAAGTAAATTAATGATAAGGCCACAAATAGGAACAAGAGCCACAGAACCAGAACAGAATAAAGCCAACAGAGAATGAGCTAATGAGAAAGCCAGCCAACCCAGAAAGAAGCCAAGAAAAGAAAAGCTAATGGGGGTTTGGAAGGGGAGATTATATAGGCCAGAAAAATAGGCGGGTAGACAGAAAAATATTTCGATCATTAAAGGCATAATAGGAACGATTAAATAAAAATGCACATATTTGAATGATACAAAAGAGTGGAAAATAAAGTTAAGTTTTAGAACAAAAGGACTAAAAATGTAAATAGAGTTTGAATAGATGTTTACAGCAAAAAATGATTTTTAGCCAGGTGAAAGTCCGAAAAAGGAATTTGCAAAAAGTGATGATTAATTTAGAATTAAAATTATAAAAATATATTTATTTTATTTTCCTCATCTTTAGTCGCTTCGCGACAAAAATTGAGAAAAAAACAAGAATATTTTTTCTGATTTTTTGTTCAAATAATTGTGTATTCCATTTTATTTAAATTTAATTTTAAAGAGACCGGTAAAATCGCATCCGGAAATGGAATTGCGATTTTCGCAGTCCTGAACTCGCAATCCCGAAATGAATATGTATGTATTTCTATAAATATTAAAACTTTAACTACAATATTAAGCTAAACTTTGAAATGTTCCAAGGGGGAGGTATACGTTTCAAGAACAGAGAAAATTCTAGGCGGATCCGGGATAATCTTAATGGATCCAGAATCTTATTGAGAGCACTTAGCCTCGTTTTCTAGTGCCCTCTCTCTAATAAAAGTACTATATTAATCCCAACCGTTTCTTCTATATATACAGTACTATAAAAGCCGGTACTTATTTTTTATTTAACCTTAGTTCTTTCTAATTATTTCCTTTTGTCGACAAAGAATGCCAAACCAAGACATTGTGCTTCAAGCTGTTGGTAATGATGGAGTTGTTCAGAGATGGGTTCGACGCTCTTATGTTCGACATCTTCCACTGCGACGCAATTTTTTTGAGCAAGAGCCGGATGAAGGGACAAGCGATGATCAGCAAGTTGTGAAAATGTTAGATCCGCTAAATACTAAAATTGAAGAATTGGGTTACCACATTTTGGTTAGTTTTTGGTGGTTTTGTTTAAAAATTATTCTTTTTCTAAATTTTAGGCTCGAGTTTTTCAAAGTCTCTCCATTCTTGATCGACTTCGAATGGAACATGTTTCTCGTCTTTTCCGCAACACAGCTAAAATGGGATGGATTGGACAGCGCAAAATTGTTGTAATTCCAGAGGAGGCGACGATAGAAGGAAACAAGACCTATCTGTTTAGTGTAAGTAAAAAACTGAATAAATGTGGTGTGGGCTAGAGTGCGGCACCGGTCGGGATCATGTACGGGATTTTACGGGATCTCGACCCGGAATCCCGGGTTTTAAGCGACGAAAGGATTAATCCCGCGGCCGTCCCGTACGAAGTGCAGAAAAAATACCGTTACGGGATCCAGGGAATGCGATTTTGCCGCACTCTAGTGTGGGCGATATTACTAATTTGTTCTTTTTCGAATAAACAAATTCGGATAATCGAGATTTTTATTTTCAGGGTCGCGCTTACTTCCGTCTCATAATGAAGCGTTGTTGTCGTTACACTTTTGAACTTGTAATTTATCAATTGGTGCCAAAGGATCGATTATTTAAATTACTTCAACTTTGCTTTCTTCTTCAACATCTTTGCTTGGATTATTTGTCGCCCCTTAGTGGCTCTGAATTTTTGGAAATTTCTGAACGTTTGCCTGAATTGAAGTCTTTGGTTGTCAAAAACTGTCGTTTGGTGGGTATTTTTGAATTTACTCGTTATTAGGGTTGAGGGTCGAAGTGAGGATTTTTTGGTTCTTCTAAATTTTCCCAACTTTAAAAAAAATAATTTTTCTTTCTTTTAAGCATTATAAATTCGCTCGTGATTTTCAAAGAATGCTTGATGGTCTTCAACATCTTCAAGTACTTTCTGTCGTCAACTGTGAAGGTTTTGGTATGTGAATTATTTTATATTTAAATATATAAACTTTCATTTTAAGATAAATTAGAAATTGAGAGACTTCCTTCTACTCTACAAATTATTCAGTTAAATTATCTTGATGGGAGTTTGGATAGGCAATTGAGGTTATTTGAATGTCTTCAAGTTTTTTTTTCTAAATGTTTTTTCTTCAGAATTATTCAAACTATTCGGCACCACGTTCCAAATGTTGTGAGTTTCTCTAAATTTTATTTTTTCTTGGTAATACACAAGAGTATAAGGTTTATGGAAAAGTCTGACATGACCTTAAGTGTTATCAATTTGTCTAGACTTTTAGATATTTCGATTGTTGGCAGCCAGTTAAACCGAAATCGAAGACTTTGTTAAATGGTGTGGGTCCAAAACCGGTCATAATGAAACTCAAGGGCCTTTCTTATTTTCGACAGAACTGAATATTACCCCGGTTAATAAGCTGTCACCAACAAACCTACACTAGTTTATACTCTTCAAGTTCAAAAAATTCAAACAATTTCTTTTTAAAAACAAATTTTAGAAAGTTCTGGTACTTGATGAAGGTAACGAGCAAGCACATGTTCTAATGCAACCATTCCAAAACATAAAAGTCTTGGTCCTTCCATTTCACAGCTGGGATTGGAGAGGTAATCGTGCGGAAAACGTTGAATTTTATCCTCGAGAATTTCTTATGCGTTTGACTGCTTTGGATTTTGGAGAGGTTACTGTTGAGGTCTGGAAATTATTTTTTCTAATTTCGATGTTACTCTTGGGAACAAGTATGCCCTTTTTTGAGTAACAAAGAGGGGAAGATCTCTAACATTTAAATTGCCTAGATAAGGGGGTTTAGTATTATAAGAAATAAGAATGTCTTTGTATTAACCCACAAATTAGTTGTGTTGAACTAACCTCCTGTCACAGGAGGATTGCAGTTTCGAATTCCCATCTACTGGATTCCCGTCTCGAGGGATGATCTAACTTCATTTTTCTTTTTTTTTCAGTTTGGAACTCTCAGATTTAGCGCTCTACAATTACCAAATTTGGAATATTTGGTCCTTCAAGTAACCAGAATTGTGAATGCTAATCAATTCTTCAATCAAGTTGTTGGTTTGCCTTCTCTGCGTTCTTTGACTTTTAATATCAAAGGAGGTACTTTTAGTGAAACAACGCATTGGAAACTCAAAGATAGACAATTATATGATTCTTTGATGTCTATGGCGCAAAGAGGAATTATTGAAGTAAGTAATTTGGATGGTATTTATTTTTGGGTTTTTGGGATCTTTTGGGACTTTTGGGGTCTGTTAAATTTTTAAGAATATTTTTTTCAGTATTTGCACGTCTCTTGGCCGTTAAATACTTCTCTTGCTGTGGAATTTGTTAAGAATTGTTCGGTATGTTTTTGGACTTTTCTAATTTTATACATATTTGCCCCTCAAATTGTTAATAAATTTTTTATGATTTTTCAACAAAAAATTTTTTTAAATTATTTTTCGAATCCCTTTTGATTGACATGCACAATTCTTTAATTTTTAAGAAATTGCGTGCACTTTTCTTTGGAATTCGAAATGCGAGACATCGCGACTTGGAAGAAGAATTTGATTGGAAAAGTTTCATTAAATCACTTGATGAATTGAAAAAAGGATTATTACCAAAAGAAGATTTTCAAAAAATAAAAATGTTCAGAAATGTTTTTGGTGAATGGTCAGGAACGAATCCATGGAATCAAGATTTTAAATTGGCTCCAGTTAAACATCCGTGGATTGAATGTCTTGGTAAAGCTATACCTTCACATGTATTGGGAGAAGTTTGTCTGAAGGAATTGGGAGAGAATGTTGATGTGACAACTGAGTAGGTGTTTTAAAAATTATTTTAACGTTGAATACTTCCTTTTGGATTGTCTGATCAAAGGGTTTTATAAAATTGGGATAGTTTGAATATAAATATGTCCATTAGCTCTTTACTGGTATTTAGTGGGATTTTTGGGGAATTTATTTTTTTGACCATTCGATTTGGTATTAGTTGTGTTTATTCAAAAGAAAGAAAGTTTTAGACATTTCTAATTTTTTTTAAAATTTCAGATTATTCAAATTCCCGCCAAGAGTGCAAGTGCCTGAGAAGATTATTGAGGATTAGAAAATATAGAAGATGTATATAGATAATTATGTAGGTATTAGATAAAAAGAAAATCTAAATGTAAATATATGTCGGCGGTAAAATTCAGATTTAGGAAAAATTCAATTTTTCCGGAAAATTTCAATTTTTCCGGAAATATTCAATTTTTCCGAGCATTTAGGAAAAATTCAGATATTAAATTAATTTAATAGTCTGTCTTACACTATTTCGCTTGTTTTTCGTTTTTTGAGTATGTTTTTTCTCGTTTGTTTTTCCTTTGTTTTTTCTTTTGTTTTTTGGTTTATTCGTCTTTTTTTGTATTTTTATTTATTTTTTTTTGTTTTGTTTTTGTTCTTTTTTTTTAAATTTTTGTCCTACAACTAAATTGATAGGTCGGCATTTCAATGCTGAAAATCGGTAAAAGGAATAGGATTATGGTACTAGTGTAGAACCCAGCGACCGTTGACTCCCCATAGGTTTATGTTGTTGTTTTTCGTGTCGTAACTTTATCCAAACCTTACATAGTGATCTTGTCTAGATCAAGAAATTTATAGATAACCCAGTTAAAAATAAAAACAACAATAAAAAACACAAACAACACCAAAAAACATAAAACTAGCCCAGACTCAACTGACAACTTTATTAATAACTGAAATTTTCCTAAATCGTCGGAAAAATTGAATTTTTCCGGAAAATTTGAAATTTTCCGGAAAAATTGAAATTTTCCTAAAATTGAAATTTTCCGCCGACATATAAATTGTGTCCGGTAGTTTTGTAATAGTTAATATGTATATTTGTGTATAAAGTATTTTAAAAATTTGCTCTTTAAAATTAAATTTTTTTTTCAATTCTAGATTTACAAATGTAATATGTACGGGCATTTAAAAAATTAAAATTAACTTTAAAATTCTCAAATTTTCGTTTGTGGCACTAAAATGAACTTTGGGAGAAGAATATAAGTAACACCCTCTTCAATTCATTTATCATTTTTTCTTTTGTTTTAATCTAGAATTTTACAATTTTAAATATGAAAAATTCAGTTTCCAATTTAAATCTTTGCCTAAAATTGAGAAAACTGGAATTTTAAGACGAGACATCAAAGACCTCTTAATGACCTCTTAATGAAACTACCTAAATTAGTATTTGAGATATTTAGTTAAAGAGGGCAGGAAAATAGTATTGAACTGCAACCTAGCGTTCGAATTTTTGATAAATTAATAAATGCCGGCCAATCAACTATATAATTCGAAATGATAACGGTCAACTTAACAAGGTCGAATAATTCAGAATTAGTTATTTGAAATTTGTCGTTTATGGCGTTGAGTTTGGCATTATGTCTTTAAATTTTTGAAAGTATAAATGGAAAATCTTTTAGTTTTTTTTTGCTTCTTGTGTTTTGTTTTTTTTAAGTTTTTTTTTTCAACTTTTATCTCTTTAAAGTTATTATTCTATATCTTTTCTTAATATATGATGGCTTTTGATCGTAACCGAGGCGTTGACCAATTTGAGGAGGTGAAATTAAATTAAATTTCCTCCTCAATTGCTTCTCTTAAATTTTAGGTTCGTTTTATTCACGAATTTGAGCCGGTTGTTCTCTCTCGTGCAAAGCTCATTCGACTGGCGGAGAAGGCAGAAAATTTTGACGAACTTGTCAAAAACTGCTATGTTCGAATGTTGACGAAGACGGACAAAGTGACGTTCCATGCTATCTATCGTATTATTGGAGTTATCGATACTCAGGTACTTGAATCGAAGAACTCAACATTATTTTTGAGGTTCCTATTGGCAAGTCAAAGTATGCGAAGCGTATTCGGGTTGACAATCAGGCTGAAAGAATTCTTGAAAGTACTGCTGTGGATCCAATCACTCAAGAGGAATTTGATGTTTGGTACAAAAATGCTAAACTCAAAACTGTTTGTATTTCTCACATTGAGACAAAATTTTTTGTGTCTCTTTTCAGCAACCTCTGCCCACAATTCGTTGGATCAACAAGCGTTCTGATGAGATTCGTTTGGCGCTTCATGACGCTTCTAAGCGCTCTGAAGTCTCATCCGTAGAGGAACTGAAAAAAATTGTGTTGAGCCGTTCGCGTCTTGTCCCGTTAGTTCAAAGTACTGAGGGCGCGGATATTATTGATGGATGTTTTGTGCGTATGGTGCTTGGACATGACAGTACTGGCCAAACCAAATATGGGGTAACCTTTTAAATTTATTATCTTTAAAATGTAAATTTATTTTTAGATCGCTCAAATTGTTGCGGTCACCGAAAGTGATGAATATGCTGTTAATGTACCAATGGCTGGCTCAGTCACTACACATACGGTCAGTTGGAAGGTTTGAATTTTCAGTTTTATCCAAATTTTAGATGTATCGCAAACTTACGCTTCGACACGTTTCAAATGCGTATATGGATGTTGGACTTCAAAGCATTTCCAATTCACCAATTGATGGTGCTGAATTTTTTGAATGGACAACGGCTTATCTTCACGCGGTTATTTACTCCTTTGTCAACAAAATAATTAATTTTATTTTTTAAGGAACTTCCATTGCCACTCATGGACTTTATTGAAAAAAAGGAGCGTCGAATTCATGAGTATCTTTTGTCGCGTGGTCTGCTTCTCAAGAAAGTAAAGAAAGAGGAACCGATAGATGATGAGGAAAGAAGGGAAGTCGGTAATAGTGTCGTTTCCCAGCCCCCTTTTTTCCTCCCAATTTTCTACCCTATGTTTGTACGGAATGGTCAAATTTTCCCCTTTCTTTCATCAAATTTGCCTTTCAATATTTTGCCTAAAAACAATCAAAAAAGATTAATTTTTTATTCATTTCTTTCACAAGGATACACCGCCAACATCCATATCTTTCGTCTTTCTTAACACTTATTGTTGTTCGACCCCCACACTTGTAGCAAGTTCTCTTTCCATGAAGAAGTCCAAGCTTCTCAAGCCATGCATCGAAATCATTATCACTCAAACGTAATTTTTCATATAAATCAATAGGTTTGAAATTCTTTAGTTCTTCCATTTTTATTAATTGGGAAAATGATTCTTCTCATTACTCTAATACTTTTTTAAATATCACAAATTAATCTTTTTGATTGTTTTTAGGCAAAATATGGAAAGGCAAATTTGATGAAAGAAAGGGGAAAATTTGACCATTCTGTACAAACATAGGGTAGAAAATTGGGAGGAAAAAAAGGGGGCTGGGAAACGACACTATTACCGGGAAGTCGAGCCAGTCCAGAAGAAATCGAAGGTTTCTCGCAGACGTGATTTGTATGGCCATTAAGGGAATTTTTTTGGTGATTTTTTAATAAAAAAATAAGGGAAAATATATTTATATAAAATTTAGTGTTTTTTCATCCTCATTGCTGAATTTAATCTCTCTCTCATTCTTGTTGCAAAGCAAATGTTGTATTTCTAATATTGATGAATTTTTGGGTAAAAATTTTTAAAGATAACATTACCTATCTGGGTATATTGTAACGTCCAATTTTGAACTTTATGAGACCCTCTTTTTCCTTGAAAACATAAAAACTTTATGGAAGCGAGTTTTTATCCAAAATTATTTTTTAAATCAAAGGAAGAAATAAGCAAGAAATAAAAAAGGAGGTCTCATAAAGTTTAAAATTCTCCCATACAACTTTTATTTGCCAGTAAATGTTATATAATATTGTACACATATTTCCGTTTTCCTCCCATCTCTCCGAATTTGTCCAAAATATTGTTTTATTTGATCTTATATGAATATTTTAAATAAAATTTTGTGCCATGATTGTTGTAGTTAATAGTATGTTTTTTAAACAAATTTTTATATTTTTTTATCTTTCGGGTGTGATTTAATAATAATCCCTTTTCGTTTAGAAAAATTTTTTGTTTGGAGACATTGACATAATTAAATCTGCGACAATGTGGCCTTGCTACACAATGGACAATCGTTTCGCTGACCGATATAAACAAGATATGAGCAAACCGCCGCCTTCACCATATGGAAAGCCGTTTTTAGTTTCAAATCCGTCACCTCCTCCACCCCCTCGTCCGATGCTTTGGGGACAGCCGCCACCACAAACTGCGTTAACGATGGGTTCTTTAATTGAACCCTGCCATTTCCAACCATTGACCTGGCATCAAGATCAACCATCTTCCTCAGAGTTGTTGCAAAAGGAGAGCGGTACATCTGTCAAAAGCAATCCATCAAAACCGACGACATTTCCAATGGTGAGAAAATTTAAATTATGTAAATTAAGCTTATGAGTTTTGAAAAATGGGATAACTGACCATTATATTTTTTGGCTTGGAGTCTGCATAGGAAGTGAAGTTGGATTTTATTCAAAATTTATGCTTAGTGTTAGAAATGCGAATAAATTATCAAGTTTAAAAGGAAAATAAGCCTAAAGAGTTCACCGGTTTTCTCTAATTTTTTTCATGGGAACTGGCATTTTCATTCCTTTTACTATTTTCTTTTATATTCAAAAACATTTTCTTTTAGGTTACCAAGAACATTCAACCTTCAAGTCCACCAATTTCAATGGCTAAAGTTGCTCAACAATTTGAATCAATGAATTTGTATAGTCCTTTACCAAAGGAGCAGGAAAATTCCGTTTTTGACACCAATGATGGTTTGTTTTAAAAAATTTTTGCAATTTTCTAGTTAAGCAGGGGGTTCTAATCTTCCTATGAATTTTCTTTTTTCCCTATCAAAATTTATTTTTAATTAGATGTCGATTTTCCAAGTTTGAGTAGTAATGGCAATAAAACAATTGAAATTCCTAAACAAGCTCAAGTAAAAACAACACAACAAAAGTCTTTCGCAAACATTGCTGCAAAAGCTACGACCTTGGTGAAGAAACAATCGGATTCTAACAATATGCAGACAGTTAAGTCGCGGTGAGTATTTCTTTAAAACGAAATTAATTTAAAAAATTTTTTAACCTTTAAGAGGATCGATATCGAATTCTCCTCCTAGCCAGCCACAACCACCACCATCACAAACGACAATCATTCCTCCAACTTCAAACTCTTTGGTGGTTAAACAAAATGAAGACGTTTTAATTAATAAACAAAAAGAAGAAGGTTTGTTCTTTTTTTGATTTTATATTTTTAATTATAAAATTTTCAAGAAACTCAAATTCCACCAAAATCGCCTTTGACCTTTGAACAATTTAATGACAAAATTGAAGAGAATAAGAATTTCTCTAATTTTTTGGTGGAATCTCAATTTGATGACTTATTTGAACGTGATCCCTATTTAAATCATTTGAGAAATGTTCAAGAAGATATGTTTCTTCAAATGTATAATATGACGCCTAATGACAATTTCGTTATTCCTGAACCTCAAATAGTTGAGGAGAAAATTGAAGTAGTAGAATCTCCACCCCCTCGACCGCCATCTGTCGATGAATGGCAAACAGTGGTTGCTCGACGAAGAAAAACTTCTTGCAATACTGAGGTCTTTTAATTTTTTTTGTGAAGAAATATTTTCTATTTTAAGTATTTGTCTCATCGACCAAGTCCGTGTACTGACGATGGGTATATGGTTAGTTGTTAAATTTTGTTTTTTAAATATTAGCCGTTTTTTAGGAAGACTACAGTGACGAAGATGACTTTGATGGTGTAAATACAAATGATGGAATTATTCGATCAGATAGCCCTGCAAGTAGTATAGCACAGCGTAGTGACAATGTACCTGAGGGAACTAGTGGAGGATCCCATTTAGACAATAAACATATATTTTATAGGTAAATAATTGTTTAAAGAAATTTACTCCTTTTTTTTAAATTTAGAACGCATATTTGCCTTTATTGGCAAAACTGGCAGGAAGGAAAAGGTCCAAAATGTCGACATGGAGAAAATTGTTTTTATGCTCATGGATCTAAAAAATTAAGAAAACTTAATCCTGTATATTACAAAACAGTCTTATGTGAAAAGTTTAATAATGGAGATAAATGCCCATATGGTGAAAATTGTAATTTTGCACATGGCGAGAGGGAATTGAAAAAATTTTTGACAAAAGGTTTTTTTTAGTTTTTAAAATTTTTTAAATTTATTTTTTTTAATTTTTAGCACAATCAAATAATAATATAAATTCAACAAATAAGGAATTGAGGAAATTTTTTGCTGTATCAAAACGTTACCAAATTCGGAAAAATCGTGGAACAGAAACTATTCAATGTAATCCAGTAAAGCATTTTGACAAAGTAAAAGTAATAAAAACAAAAGAGGGGCAAAAAAGTATTAAAAAATAGTTTTTTAGAAAATAAATTATTTTTATTAAATTATTCAGAGAATAAATTTTCAAGAAAATAAAATTTCTTTCTGATGGTTTTTGGGAGGTTTTTAGTTGAAATTCTTGAAAATTTATTTTTAGGCAAAAATTAAATAGGAAATAAATATAAGGAGCAGTTTAACAAATGGAATTTTCATTAACTTTTGGATTAATTTGTATGAATATTTTTATTGGAGATAGGACTTGAAGGTTCGATAAGGATACGAGATCGATATCTCGAAAAATCTTGGTCACACTGAACGAGATCTTTCGATGTCTCGTTTCGGTCTGTCTCTAGCTTGTTTGATTTATGACAAATTAATTTTCTATATATCACTGGAAAACTTAAGTTAATCTAGGAGTTTAAAGTATGAAAATTCCATTTGTTGGGCTGTTTTTTTTGTTAACGCAAGGGCTTATCCAAGAGAAGCATAGATATCTCCCATAATTGACAAATTAAAATTAATAAATTTTGGCATAAAGGTAACGTTAAAAAATGTTTTTCTCGGTGTCCTTTACTAAAATTCAATCGTTGGATAAGCTTTTCCGTCTAACACCTTATATTATTTTGTTTGTTATTTATTGTCCCCTTTGGCTATTACCCCCTATATTTTGACCATCATATCTTTTTTTTGTTAATTCAAGAGCTATTACCTTGCCCATCCCTTTATAAAAAGCATTTAATTATTTTATTTAAAATGCACAATTATATACTTATTAAATTAAAAAAAAATTATGAAAACTACTAACAAGCATTTTTTTGACTTAAAAATATTTTCTATAAATATTATTATTTATTTATTTATAAATAGAAGAATAAAATAAATTTATTTGTTAATAATTGTGTTTTTAATTTAAATATATTTTCTAAATTATATTAATTATTTTAGTAATTTGTGATTATTTTTATATACTTTTGAAGCTTTTAGATTATGAAATGTTTGACTACAAAATTAGAGAAAAAACCAGCATCTTCACAGATTTTTGGAGATGGCGAAGATTTGTTGGTTGGCACTTACCAATTAAATTCTAATATAAATTCTGGTAAAGATTTGAATTTTTTTTATAAATTTTTAAAGTAGCTTTTCAAGTTTCATCCTATGCTGGCGAATTATTTGTAATTAGAACTAAGGATTTGACTGTAAAATGTAGCCTTGACTTGGGTGCTGGTATTTTCCGGTTCATTTTGGACAATGATAAGTGTGTGCTTTCACTTACGGATGGACGACTTGTTATAGTAGAGGTTTGGTTTTTTTTTATTTTCTTGGCTTTTAGGCATCAAATTTTCTTAGGTTTTCTAGTATGAAGTTTGGTACCTTATTACCTTTTGAATTTTCATTTTTATGAATTTAATGGTTCTTTTTTAAGTATAACAACGAGAATTTATTCTCTACTGCACAATTCAAAGTCTGCTCTCAAATGTTGCTAGATTGTTCTGTTTTAAATGATCGAATACTTTCTACAAATACAAAGGGTCAAATATTTTTAGTTAATGTTGAAGATGGTTCTTTTGTTTCTAATTGTGGACATAAGTCAAAATATGGATTAGTTAGTTTTTAATATTTTTTGAAATGTTAATTAAACAATACAAAAATAAAATTATTTTGTTTTCGAATTCTCTTAAAAATTATTTTTATTAAATTAAAAAAATATTAATTAGTATTAAGGAGGAATGTGAAGTTTGGTGTTGCTCATGGATAAACGAACAAGTTTGTTTTTACGTTTTTCTTAAACTTGAATCTATTTTAAATTTTTAAAACTGTAAAAAATGTACTTAATTTTTTTAGATTTTTGCGACCGGTGCAGAAGATGGAATTTTGAAAATTTGGGATTTGCGTTGTACTTTTAGGTTTATATTTTTTATTAAAAAATTTTTTTAAATTTTTGTTTAGTTCAGGCGAGCAACAAAAGATTGAGCACTCTGCTGGTGTTACTTCTTTATATAAATTGAATGATGATTATCAAATTATGTCAGGTTCATATGACGACAATTTAAGGTTATTTGATTGGAGAAATTTAAATAAACCACTTTCGATTTTGAAGGTTTTTTATTTTAAATTAAAAAAATGAGTTTTTTTAAATTATAGTTAAATGGTGGAATCTGGGAAGTTACTCCAATTGAAAATGATTATTTTATTTTGGCTTGTATGTATGGAGGTATTTAATTTTTTTAAATTAAAGAAATTTATTCCTTGTATATAAAAAGTATGAAAATAGTTTTTTATCACTAGTTTTGACCTCGTCACTCATAAAACTTTTAGAATTTTCCCTTGAGTATCAAAGAGTTCCTTCGTATTTTTCTAAATACTTATTAATTTCTTTTTATTTTTCCTGTTAGGTGCAAGTATTATTCAAAAATCTACCAATTCAACATTAAATCTTGTCCACTCTTGGCAAAGTAATAATCCAACAGATCTTTGTTATAGTGCTAAAGCAATTCCAATTGAAGAAGATGAAATAAAATTAAAAATATTTACATGTTTTTTTAATGATTATTCTGTTAGAAAAGAATTAATTAAAATTAAAAGAAATTTTTAAATAAAATAAAAAAAAATTTTTTTATTTTTTTAAAAAGATAATCATTTTTCTTGATAATATCTTTAATTTTGTTAATTTCTTTTTCAAACTTTGAAGGTTAAATTTAAAGATAAAAAATGTTCTTTAGCCGGTTGTTGGGTGGTGTGCCAAAAATACGAACATCAAAACGTATGATTTATAAAAAAATTTTATTTTAATTTTTAGTTATTGATGATAGGGAAAGTAGAGTTTGGGTTATATTGGAGAATAACTTTCTAGTAATTTAAGAAAAATTTCCAAATTATATTTATCCATGTGTGGTTTGGGTTTAGCATTATTAGTCAAAAAAACTTATTCTTTTTTATTGTGTAGGTTATTGAAATTAGCCAATTTTATTTTTTCCAAATAGGGCCGATGGTCTCATTTTAATAAAAATTTCTAAACAATTAAAAAACAATCTAAAAAAATTTTTTTATTTTTAAGCAAAAGTTTTGCAGCGGCGTTTTAACCCTCTTCGAATGCTTTGTCCTTCCCCAATTGCTTCATGTCCAGAATGTCACAATTCACTTTCTCCTTGGGTTTGCTGTTTGCAATGTTATCAATTAATTAAAGAAGAAAGTGAAAAAATAAAGCAAAAAATGATTGGAAATAATTCTTAAAAATATTTATTTTTAAAAATTTTTGTTAGAAATTTTGGCTTTTTCAATAAAAGTAAATTTATTTCTTAATTTTATTGCTTAAAATTTCAAGTTTTTTTAGATATATTTGTTTTAAAATTATTTGTAATTTTCTAACTTTTCTGAATTTTAGATAAATATTTAGTGAACAATTCAATCAAAACAACTTTAAAAATGACAACAGAATCGGATCTTAGAACAGTAGGTATTTACTTATGATGGGGGGTTTTTTCTCGGGATTTTTAAATTGGTAAAAAATTGTTTTAATAATTTTCGAGTCCGATCTAAAAAAATTTAATTTTAGCATCTAATCACATTTTAAATTTGACAAAATTACTTAAAATACTTATGGGATAAAGGGGTTTTTTCATCTTTTAAAATTTTAAGTTTCGTGAATTTCTTCTACAATATAATGCTGTAACGGAGCATTGTTTTAATTCTTGTGTGGTTGATTTTTCAAGGAGAGAAGTAAGCGATAAAGAAGATTTGTGTACTAGAAATTGTATGGAGAAGTTTTTAAAGGTTAAAATAGAAAAATTGTGAAAAAAATATTTGGAGGAAATTAAATTTATTTTTAAGGCCGGTCAAAGACTTTCAATGCGTTTTCAAGAACATCAAATGCTAAATATGGAAGCACAAGGAGCACCTATTTCAGTCAGTGCAGCAGCAAGTAAAATGTGATAAAGTTAATTGTTTTCGTTTATTTTTGTTGAATAATAAAAATATTTTTTGACCTTAAATATTTAATTTTTTTGGAGATAATGTAATTTACATTAAATATTTATTTATTTTGTCATTAATTTTATTTCTTAAATTGTGCTGGTACTCACAAATCTATCTGGAGATAGCGACATTTTCTGGAATTTGAGTATATATTTTATACATGGTTGTAATTCTGGTGCATATAAATGACTAATTTCAGAAAATGTCGCTAGCTACAGACCATTGTTCTGTGTGTACTAGCACCAGAAGAACTTTGGCACTAACGTTGAAAATTCTTGGCGTTCAAAGGGCCTTTCCGATTTTTAGTTGTTTTCCTTTCTAATTTAAAAAAACAAATTTTTGTTAAAAAGTCTAAGGGGCACGAGGACTTCAATATATTAATTCTTTTTTAGCATATTTAGATTTTGATCAAAAAAATGTTTTTTGATGAAGATGTTTCTCAAAGTTCCAATAATGAAAACATTAAAGAATCTGAACGAAAAAATTCTACAGGCTTGAAGCCGTTAACTTTTCGTGATTGTGTGCTTAGAGTTAATGAAATTTATGAGGTTTTTAAAATTAATTTTAATTCTTTAGTCTTTAATTTAGAAGTCTACCAATGTATTGGAGGATAAAGATAAATATAAAGTTATTCAACAGACAATAAGACGTTATTTTGATGACGAAGATCCTGAAGATGTTTTTGAGGGTTTTCTGAATTTAGTTATTCATTTGGATAAAATAACAACGTTATTAGCAAAACAATATGATCTTTCATTGGTTTGTAACTTTTTAAATTTTAGTAGAATTTGAGGGGTACTTATTTTCACTAAAGCAAAATCCTTTCAGCATTTTTATCTTTACATTTCAGCATGTGTGTAGGTTCGAAACATATCCCTCTGTATTTAGGAATAATGCCCCGTATATAAGCGCATAAACGTGAAAGATGTTAGGAATTTATGGTTTAGGGAAAATTATTGAAACTTGAAGTCACTCCTAAATGTTTAATTTTTTTAGGTTATAACTGCTCTCAATGCCTACAATGATTTTCTCATAGGCAAACCTGAATTAACTCAAAAAGCGCAGAATATTGATGATGTTGATTTACTTGTATGATTAATTTAAATTTGAATTTTCTAAAATTTTATTTTTAAGACAAATGCATTGAAAATTGTATCAGTTCTCAAAGTCAAGCATTTAAATTTAATTGTAAGAACATTTCACTTGAATGATGTTTCGATGACTTTTGCTGCAACAAATATGATTAATGAACTTCTCATAGCTGAAGATTTTGTAAAAGCCGTTCAATGGATGGCGCTTCTAAATCTTCGTGATCATTACCCTTTTGAACAGGTTTTCAATAATATTTTTATGTTGCTTATGGGGTTTATATCTTTTGGCGCTTTTGAGTATTTTTGTATCCTTGTCTGGATCATTTTTGGTTTGGTTCTCATTATATCACTTTCAATTATTTTAAAGCTTACTGCCATCAGAGTTTCTACGAAAAATCTTTAATTTTTTCTGTCTAAATTAATTTTATGAATATCGGGATTAATTAGCTTGTTTTTTAAATTAGACTGTTTGCCGTCTTCTCCTTTTGGAAAATGATGAGACTTTGAAACTTTTTGTTGGCGAAGCTGAATATAGGCACAAAAAGTTGCTGAAAAAGATGGACGAACTTGTTGGTCTACATATGAGGCACCGGAATGGAGTGGATGAATATGAGAATAGACTTATAGCTGATCATAAGAGACTTGTCAAGGTATTGATTTTTAATTTAATATATGTTTCATTTTATTGATTTGTCAGCTTGCCATCAAATACGCTAAGAAGTACAAAACGCCTGACAGGTTTTTTAAATTTAATTTTTCAATATTTTTAACTCTTTAGTGACATTGCAAATGTAATGATTCAACGTGCTTACGACGCTTTGCTTTACAATCATTTTTGTTGGAAAGATGGCAAACATTCTTGGGTTCATTTTGAAGAATTAGCTTTGGTAATATTCTTAAATTTTTTAAATTATTCTTTTTAGCCCCCACTTAGTCAAAGCGAATTTATTAGAGAAAAATATTTCAATTTTCTGCTTGATAAAGGTCTGGGCGATAAGGCTTTGTATTTTGCTCATTTACTTAAACTTCCGGAGTCTCAATATCCTAGAAGATTGGCTTATTTTATGGAAAATATACAGGTTATTTAAATACATTATTTTTAATATTTAAGTTGATTCCCTTCTTTTTTGTTCGTATTTCTTAAGATATGTAAAAATAAATTACCAATTTTACCCATCTTTTATGGCTGGTGTATCTGGAATTAAAAAAAATTATTCGTTAATTTTTAATTTAATTTTAGCCAAATGAAATTGACTCAATTCGTGACAACATAACAAAGTAAACAAACTTCTTGTATTCATTTTAACAAAAATTATAATTTTCAGGAATCTTGAAATTCGTAAACGAAATCAAGAGATTGAACAAGAATTTGATTGTTCTTTGGATGATGGCACGCCAATTATTTTGGTAGATTCTTTAGAATCTTTGGATGATGTTATTGAAGTATTAAGAAATGGCGGGGAGAGGTTATTGGGAATTGATGCAGAATGGAGACCACATTATCTTGCGGCCGATGAAAAGTTATTTTTATTTTAATTCACGGGGATATCACCCAAGGGCGTAGCTAGGGTGTCGATTTCAGGGGGTGGTCACTTGAAGTTTTCGGTTCGGAACCGTCGGCCTTTATCAAAATTGATAACATTTTTGCTTGTTTTATTATGTTGGCTATTCAAATTTTTCACTTATGTTTTTCAGAATTTCGTTAATCCAAATAGCCACCTCCAAAGTAGTTTATATTATTGATGTATTACGTCTTGAAGTCGAATTAGAATTAACTGAATCTGAATGGACAAACTTCTTTGATGCTTTATTTTGTACTCCAAATGTTAAAAAAATTGGTTTTTTAAATTTAAATTTTTCAATAAAAATTTTTTTTAAGGTTATGATTTTATTAATGACATTCGAGTACTTAAAAGTACTTTCTCTTTTATGTCAAATCTTTTCCTGAAGTCAAATAATATTATTTGTTTATATAAATTGTTTGGACAAGTTTGTATATTTAAAGAATATTCAACATAAATTTTTTGCTTTTTTAGATTGCTCTAGATCCTGAATTTTCTGAAGCCGTTTTTGGAGGTAAGAAAGAGTTTGAGTATTTAATAAGATAAGGAGAAAAAATATTTGAATAGAAAATTTTGAATTTAACATGCAAAACATTATTATTTAGCTAATAAGTAAACGTCTTCAACTTGAATTTTTTATACTAAATTAGTAAAAATCTTTTTTAAGAATCGATATGTTAATGTCAGATGTTCTTTTTTAAGATATAATTAAAAATTCAAAGGTTAACGAAAAGTTTTTAGGCAAACCTCTAAAAAATTTGGGACTTTCTGATGTTGCAAATTATTTTCTTGGAATTCAAGTGGAAAAAAGTGAAAGGACTGGAAATTGGAGTCAACGACCTTTACGACTTGAACGTTAGTATTTAATTAATTTTTTCTGTGCAATTTTATTTAATTTTAGAGAAAAAATATGCTGCATTGGATGCTCATTGTTTAGTTCAATTATACAGGAAAGTTTCTCCTTTAATTTTAAAATTACGTGAAGATCAACAAAATTCTTTGCAAAATTGTGCTTTAATTAAATTTATAAATGAAGAGGAAAAGAAACAACAAAATTATGTTTTAGATGATGGTCAAGTTGTTAAAATAAAAGAAGGAGAAAATGATTTTTTCAAAAATATTCAGGTTTTTAAAATAAAAATAAAAAATATTTTCTTTTAGATGGCATCACATGAACTTAATGATGAAGCTGCAAATTCGTCAAATGGGCCCTTAAAGTCTATTAATGATGTTAGATTTGTTGTTGATTCTATGCTTTTTGGGTAAGTTGAGATTTTACTATTTTATTGAAAAGAATGACCTCTTATGAGATTGAGAGAAAATGTATATTTATGGGATGTTGAAAATAATTTTTGAGCTCACCTTAGTTCACGTAAAAGGATGTCAGCAAACAAAGAGTGACCTAGTTTTTTAGAGAAACGAAATAAAGTAAAATATAAAATACGGGAGAAGTAATATCCTTATTGTATAGGGATTAAATTGTTATTTACAGATTTTTTGATTGATTTATATAATAATTTTAGATTAGGCAAAGTTTTGAGAAAATGTGGCTTCGATACTCGATTAATTGGTGATCGTAAAAAAATTGTGGAATTTTGTCAAATGGAAAACAACAAAGATTTTATTGTTTTAAGTACCGGAAAAGGCCATAAACAATTGGAAACTTTATTAAATCCTGAAAGAGTTTTCTTTGTTCCCATCAGTACAACAAGAGGAGCTACAAAGCCTTCACAATTAGTTAACCATATAATGCATGAATTGAGAATTTTAATACGCCCAGAAGATTTGTGGTCAAGATGTGTTGAATGTAATAAAAGAGCTTTTGTGCCTGTTCCCATGCAAATTATTCAATTGCTTTTTTATATGAATGTTGGTTTAATTTTAATTAATTTAGGTTTGAAAACATACAAAAAAGGAATTTTTATGTTACTCGTAATTTTTAGCTAAATTTTAGTCTGTTATTTTCACAAATATCTCACATTTTTGACTATTAAGGGCACAAAATTGTTTCTCTTTATCTATAAAATTCTTTTGGTCTCTTCAAATAAGTTTTGGGCCCTCTATTTATTTTTAAACTAAATTTTGGTAGACTTAAGTTTAGCTAATTATCTATGCGTTTTATAAATCTGTTTTTTATTTAATCCTATTACTATGGATATTTTAGAATCCTTTTAAAAACATAAAGTTTTAAAAATGTTTTTAACGAATAACTTTTTATGTTTTAAATTTTATTTTATAGGCTGTACGACTTGGAGCGGATTGGTTAGAAATTTCTGAAGAGGTATTTATATATTAAAATTTATTAAAAATAAAATATTTTTAAAAGGATTTACAAGATTGTTTCTATAAATTAAAACTTGAAAGTCAACAAACAATTAGAATTACACCAGAAATGCATAGTGGAAAACATCCAAGGAAAGAGTGAGTTTAAAAATTTTTTTAATTTCTAACATGTTATTTTTTAAAGCAGAAGTTTGTTGGGTAATAAGAACTATTTTGTCTACGAGGATGACTCTTTCGTTATATGTGAAACACGTACATGCGCAATTGATATAATGTTTGTTTAAATTATTTTTTTTAATTTATAAAATTTTTTTTCTAGAAATAAGTTGATTCTAGCTGACAGTAGTGGCGGTCCAACAGCAATCCATGTTGGACTAAAATACAAGAAAGAGACGTTTGAAGCGGATGATCTTGAGTTCTTCGTTTGCTCAAAGTGTGGCAAAGTGCAATTCAACAATCAGGGAAGTGAAGATTAGAAAAAAAAATTTTTTTTTAAATTAAAAAATCTTTAAAAAATTCTCCAAATAAAATTCTCTCAAATACTTAAATGCATTTAGTGTTATCAACTGTTTAATATTCTATATTTCTTCATGGTATCAAAAAAACTATTTTTCTTTATTTTTGAGTGATTTCTTAATTTTTTGTCCTTTTTGTTACACAGATTTTTTTCTGTAAATTTTTTGTCACTCAAAAATAAAAGTAAAAATTAATAACCATCTGTTATTTGTTATTTACTTTCCTTTTAGTTGTTTTTTATTTTAGATAGATATTTTTTGTTTTGAAAAAATATGTCCATCATTAATTTATTTTTTCGATTACTATATTATACATAGTATTTTCCATGAAATTTTTTTGCCTTTTCAAAGAGATTTATAATTTTATCAATTGTTATATTCCAAATATTTATTGATTTTTAAAAATTGATTTAAAAATTTTTTTATTTATTATTTGTTGATTTATTCAATTTATTTATTAATCAATTTATTTCCTTTATTAATTTTTAATTTTATTTTTAAGAAATTTCTTTAGAAAAATGCCAAGTCACCACTCACATAAACGCAGAAGTTCTTCGTCTGAATATGAAAAAAGTCATCGATCAACTGCAGAAAGGTATTTTTTCTTTAAAATTTTATGGAAACAGTTGTTTTCTTTTGGGGTATTTAAATTCTTGAAAATTTTGTTTTGATTCATTTTAATATGATGGTTTTTAGTAGACATCGCAGTGGATCACAACGTCATGAAAATGATTCTAGAAGACCAGTTGTTAGGCGTTCACCTTCTCCGCCAATGGCTTTTCGTCGTGATTCGTCTGCTTATTCACGTTCTTCGAGGTTTTTAATTTTTATGTTTAAAATTTTCTTGAATGGGCATTTAGTCTTTTATTTGGATCTTCCTAGTTTCAAACTACCGTGAATCGGATTTTTTGGGACTAAATTAATTTTTAACTCAAATCTACTTGCCTCCATTTTAATCAGAACATTTTTAATTTCAGCTTTCGCCCTCGTGTTATTTATTCATCTCGTCCGCGACCTTTTTCCATTCGTGCTTATCGGGCCTCTGCAATATCAAGATTCAGTACAAGAGGTAGATTTCCTCGAGTTCCATTTCATGGTTTTTTAAAAATATTATTTTAAAATTAATTATAATTCAAATAAATCAATTAGATCGACGTTCCTCTTCACCATCTGGTTTTCATCAACATTCATTTTCTTCAGAAAGAGGACGAATAGTTCGTGGTGTTTCGAGAGTTTCGCGAAGAGCTGATTTTATTGGAAGTTTTGGTTTGTTTTTTAAAATTTTGTTAAAAACAGTTTTTTTCTTTTCAAGGCCGTCCAATTTATTATCAGCCAACTTATGAGGTTTCTCCGGACAGAACAGCAGAAGACAAATTGCCAGATAAACCTGAAGAAGTTGTTGAAGACAGAGACGAACTTTTTTCACAAATGATGGAGGCAAAGAGGAACGAAAACGTATTTAAATATCTACAGAAATTAATATTTTAATAAAGAGGAGGATGACTTTAAAAATAATTTTAAAAATAAGAAGAGTATTTCTAAAAATTATATAATGGGATATTCCAGTCAAGAAAAAGAGGAATTAATTATTTGAGAGAACCCCAAAATTTAAACCTAAAAAAGAAAGAAAAATTTTCTCAAAAGTTTATCGTAGACTTTAATTGACAAAAGAAGGCACTAACAGAAATTTTTTAGTCAGAAAAATTGAAGAAATTAAAAAAAAAATTTTTTTGAAAATTTATAAGAAGTTTATAATGAAGAGAAACAATTTTTAACAAAAATTAATTTAAGAAGAATTTTTAAAAAATAAAATTAATTAACTAAAAGAAGACAAAACAAAATGTTTCTAGCTTGATGACTACTACCGACTACGAGATTTGCTCAATGCTTTTGATAGACGTAATCCACATTTGGCATTTCGAGGAAGTGGAAGAATTGCTAAAAGAAGATTGTCTTTGTCGCCAGAGAGGAATGGAGGAGCTGAGAAACGATTCAAAAGTGAAAAAGTAAAGGAGAAATCGTCTAAAGAAGGAAAGATTGCAGTTTTGGGTGAAGAATTGGAAGAAGTTGATTGTACTGGTGAGGATTAAAGAAAATTTTTTGTTGTAAAATTTTTGAAAAGGATTTGGTGAGGGAGGGGTGGGGTATCTTAAATAATGGAATTCTAATTTCTTTTTTAGGATTTAATAGAAATTTATTTATTGAAAATGAATTTTTTTTATCTGATGAGAGACCCTTCTAAACTAACAATAAGTACTTTAGTATTTAGTATTAATTTCTATTTCTTTTGCTTGTCTAAAGCATAGTCTTTTTTATTTTTTCTTCATTTTGTGTCTTCATTTTTGATATTTTGTGTGTGTGTGGGGGGGGGGGGGTTTGAACTTTTTTTCATTCAATTAATAAGTTTATAAAATTCTCCGATACAAATAAATTAATTATAAATTAAACTTTCCAGATAATATAATTAAAAAATAAATTTAAATAGATAAAAATGAAACTGGATCCAAAGGAAAAAATAAAGAAATGACTGCAGATATCACATTGGAACAAATTAGCAATGAAGATTTGGATAGAGACGATAATTATGATGATATTGATTATGACGAGTAAAAATTAATTTTGAATTTAAAAAATTAAAAGTTTTTTTTATTTTATAGAAAAAGTGCTACTAAAGAGGATATTTATTGTGGAGATGTTTATGAAGAAGAAAATGCTGTTGATCTTGATTTTATGGAGGATGAAATTGTTGAAGAAGAAATTCAGGTATATATTTAAATTTGGGAACAAGGGAAGGAGTTTTCGATCAACTATACGGCAAACATGGGAAGAAACCCAAATTTTTAATTAATATTTAAAATTAAAATTAATTAAGGGGTTGAACTTCTAACCTTTATTTTTTTTAAATTTGTTTTTAAAAATATTTATTAAAGATTTCATCCGAACGATTAAAGACAATATCTCGTGATAAACAAAAGCAGGATAAATTAAATACGAAAAAAGGTTTATTTAATATTTTTTCTAAAATTTTTTTTCAATTTTTTCAGCTCCATTTGCTCACATGTTTCGACCAGAATTTATTCCTATTTTGATCTCTTCATTACGCAAAGGAGCAGTTATAGCTAGTTCTACAAGCGAAAGGTATTGGTTGTGTTTTAGTTTAGTGGTTAGGGTGTTTGTCTATGCGGGGAGGGTGTTGAGGGTTCGAACCTGTTGCGATGTTTTTAATTTCTTATTAACGTCAGCCTATGAAGAAAGTGTAATTAAATCAGTTCTGCTACTGAATTGGCATAGTATGTTGATTAAAAAATGTCTGAGGCTGACTTTAGATTTTTGAAGAATATTTTTAATGATTTATTTTTAAGGGACTTAAAAGGACAAAATTCTCATGTTGATTCTGTAAAAGTTACTTCTGATGAAAATGTGATTAACGACAAAAATACTAGTGGGCAAAAGAGGGGACGGAAACCGAAAAAGGTAAAAATAGTTTTAAAAATTTACCTTGAAACTTAAACTAATGATATTGTGGTCTAACGATTAGGTGTTTATTACAATCGAATATGTTCTAAATTCGAATCTGAATAATTCCAAAATGGCTCTATTGAAAAAATCTATTAAAAAATGTTTTTTTAAATAAAAATTTAATAATTTAGACCAAACAAAAAGAACAACAAGAAGTCAAAATATCTCCACAATCTAGTGAACTCAATTTAAACAATAAAGAGCTTCAATCAGAAGAAAAATCTCAAAAAATACCAACACTTTTGGAAATCGCATTGAGCCGTGTAATTGCTTCAGAAATGAATTCAAGTAAAAAATTGTGAAAAAATTAAATTAAGTTTTTTAATTAAAATTTTGTTATGAAATTTATTTAATCATTCACAAGTAATTTTATTTTTCTAAATCCTCCGCTTTTTTTTATTAAATATCCAACTTAGGTACAAAAGACTTTCTAAATTCCTTGTCATACTGAATAACCGTAAATAAATTTTTGGGGATCACTATAATTTATGAAATCAAGAAATTTTTTATTTTGTCCAATTCATCTTTTCCTTCAGCTTTGAATTCTCATAAATTAAAAAAATTATTAAAGGTAAACATAAATTTTAATGAACAACAAATTTTTGGGCTTAGTTTTCAATAAAATATTATAACATCTACCCGCCATCTTTTTGTTTTTGATTTTAATGTACATTTAAGATATTGTTTAATTTTTATTAAGAGTGAAAGCACTTAGGTATGTTAAAATTATTTTTTCAAAATAACTTGGAAATTTTGTTTTTTTAATGATTTTATTTTTTAGGTCCTTAATATAATCAAAATAAATAGTTTAGAAAGTGCCGTCTCTCGCCAAATAATAGAACTTCTCGATTTTGTTTGTCTTACCCTGAAATTTTTTGAATTAGAAAATGTGTTAAATTAAATATTTTACTACCTTCTTTAAAACAGCTATTGTTTTCTCAAAATCTGACTCGTCAATCAAAGGAGTACTTGCTGGGCAAAAAGCTTTAACACCATTTTTTTCAAGCCAGTTCAAATTAGATGCATGAAACATCATTATTCCTCTAATCAACAAGACGTCATTATCCTCTTTATTTATTTTTTCGCAATCTAGTAAGGTGTTCTAAAAATGAATTTTTTAAGTAAGGTGTTCTAAAAATAAATTTTTTTTTTAAAAAAATTCATTTTTAGAACACCTTACTAGATTGCGAAAAAATAAATAAAGAGGATAATGACGTCTTGTTGATTAGAGGAATAATGATGTTTCATGCATCTAATTTGAACTGGCTTGAAAAAATGGTGTTAAAGCTTTTTGCCCAGCAAGTACTCCTTTGATTGACGAGTCAGATTTTGAGAAAACAATAGCTGTTTTAAAGAAGGTAGTAAAATATTTAATTTAACACATTTTCTAATTCAAAAAATTTCAGGGTAAGACAAACAAAATCGAGAAGTTCTATTATTTGGCGAGAGACGGCACTTTCTAAACTATTTATTTTGATTATATTAAGGACCTAAAAAATAAAATCATTAAAAAAACAAAATTTCCAAGTTATTTTGAAAAAATAATTTTAACATACCTAAGTGCTTTCACTCTTAATAAAAATTAAACAATATCTTAAATGTACATTAAAATCAAAAACAAAAAGATGGCGGGTAGATGTTATAATATTTTATTGAAAACTAAGCCCAAAAATTTGTTGTTCATTAAAATTTATGTTTACCTTTAATAATTTTTTTAATTTATGAGAATTCAAAGCTGAAGGAAGAGATGAATTGGACAAAATAAATTTTATATTTTTTTTGGTTTGCTCATATATCTAAAATCGATCGATCCTGGAGTTCGGTCCTTTTTTAAATATTTTATTGCCCTTCAATTACGGTAAAGCCTAATGTTTAAGATTATTTTGGATATTTAATAAAAGAAAAATCAAAATATCATTTATTTTTCAACATTAAATGTTTTGACAAAAGTACTATAAAATTGAATTATGACTTTCATACTTAATACACCTAGTTTGAATGAAAATTAATTGAATCTCGGTCTATGAACTTGAATGGACTGAAGAAAATTCTCATCTCGAGGTGTTTGTTAATCTTGAGCAATTTAGATTCACAATTGTCGGGCTTACCCGGACTTTTTTAAATCTCAAAACCTGACTCGAGAAATCTTGTAAATCTAACCAAAACCTGACATTTTTAGCGCCTGCTGGGCTTAAAAAGGACATCTTGCTTCTTAGTCTTATCAGAGGATATTATGTGGGGCGCCAGATTACAGCTGAGGCTGATTGAATTTTTTTAATTTTAATTAATCAAAATAAATAGTCCTTTCAAGGACATTGAAAAAAATATTTTTCATTTTCTTTTATTTTTTGAAATGTGTTATTCTTAAAACAAAAAAGGCGCACAAAAGTTATTTGGGTCATTCGAGAAGGAAAGATTTACGCGGTCATTATTATTGTAGTATGTAGTAGTTTTTAGTCAATCTTTTCCCAACAATTATATTTTTAACATAAAATCTTCTCTTCTAAATCTTTATTTTTAGTATATGTAGTTTACTATTTAGTTTATTTAGAGTCTGGTTGCCCGAAGACCGATATTTTGCTAGAATCCAGGGTTTTGGGTTCTTAACCCGGAAATGCCGGCCTAGATCGTTTGAAAGAACTAACTCGAACACCAGGCTTGGTAATTTGAGAACGCTCTAGTCTTACAAGGGAACATCGTTTACTGTCAGTGCGAATTTGATAATTTTTTGGTACCAGCCGATAGAGGACCTTCGACTTACTATTGTGGTGATATCCGTTTTTTTGCAAAATTAGTTTGGGCCGAGTTATGGCCAGCCAAAGTTCCGATTTTTTGGAGCGGTTGAGTATAGAGGTGTAAGTAAGGCGGTTCCTGGGAAATCTCTGGATATCCGGAATCGGAACCGACACATTTGAAAAAAATTCATAAAAATCTAAATTAAATATTTAAAAAAACTTTTTAGCCTTTTTTCAAAATGCTATCAGTTTATTTTTACATTATAATTTTATTTTTTATAATTGGAATAACACCAAAACAAATTTTTGAAGAATTTGATACAAATGGAAAACAAACAAAAGATCAAGCAGAGGCTGCTTTGGAAGAGGCTTTGGGGTGTTTTTGAATTTTGTTTTGTCTTTTTCTAAATTATTTTTAAATTCAGAGAGATTCGTTTTCACGCTGTTGAAAACAAAAATCGAGAAAATGGAATTTCATTATTAGAGTCTTCAATTGAAAATTTAGAGAAATATAATTTAAACACAACATTATCCCCTTCAGAAAATCAACAAATAACCTCAGCACCCTCAATTGTTTTAATTAATCCCCCAATAGAATTGCCAAAATCTGTTCCATTTGCTAATTTTATTGTCCATCCAAACGAACAAAAACAACAACGTTCTCAACAAAAATATCAAAAATTTGAATTTATGCCTCATTTTGATAGAGAAATTTATGAATTTATGGTACCCGAAGAACCTCCAATTAAGGTGTAATTTTATTCTAATTTTGAAGTTAACTCCATGACCCTATGAAGAATACTTAGTAGTAGTTTCGCTTACTATTTTTGGATTTTAAATACGATTTGTATTTAACGGGAGACAGGTAATACATGCAGTTGATGCAGCCTGTTTTTGTTTAGTTCATGTATAAACACTCCCCTGTGTGGAGAGGCAATCAAATCAATCCTACTTGTAAATCCTTAGAAAGCAAGGTATTATAGCCAGGATAGGCTCTTCCGCCTTCCACTTTTTAAATTGTGGCAGGGTCTAACAATGGTATTGACACCTATCTACTAACATTAATATTTGAATCTTTAACGCTTCTGCTTTCTACTTAAAAGCTAAAAACCTTTATTTATTTGCAAAAAATAAATTAAATTTTTAAATTTCTAAGGCGGATGCATTAGTTGCTGTTTTAACATTTTTTGGACATTTAAATGCACAACCACCCCAATTTGAACTTAAAGGAGAAAAGCTTGGTTGGTTTACTGTAGGGGAAGTAGCATCTACACAAGTAATTTTTAAATTAAAAAATAAATTTATTTAAAATTAATTTCTTTTAATTTTTGACGGGCCCAAATTATATACTTGCTGAAATACCGATATTGAGACAAAGAAAAGCAAATATAAGTTTATCGGCTACAGAAAATGGAATTTACAAATTTAAAGTTGCAAGTCGTCAAGGACATTTAAAGAATTTTGCACAAATTAAAGTTGAAGTTTTGCCAATGAGGAATTATTCACATTTGGAAATGGAGCCGAAAGAAGGGAAAAGAGAAGAAATATTGATAACAAACACAACAATAGAAACAACAAAGGAAGTTTTAGAGGGTAAAAAGGAGGAGAATGAGGGAGTAATTGAAGGGAAAGAAAATTTAAACAGAATGCCAAAAAATAAAAATTTGAAGGAAAATGGAAGGGATATTGAAATAATTGGGGGAATTGATGAGGAGGAGGTGAAAAATTCTTCGACTTTGGTAGAAAGAAGGGAAGAAGGAGTAAAAAATAATTTTGAAGAGGAAAAGGATGAAAAGAAGAATGTTACAATTAAAGAAGATAATATAATTAAAGAGGAATTAATTGAAGAAATTAATTTAAATGAAGAAACTAATAAATTAAAAAATAATTTAACAGAAGAAATATTAATTAATAATTTAATAATTAAAAATAATTCTTTATTTAATGAAGAAAATAGGACAAAAGAAGAAATTAATTTAATTAAATTAATCCCTCAAAATTTAAATATTTTAATTAATAAAAAATTAATAAATAAAGGAAATGTTAATATTTTATATTCAAAATTACCAAATTTAATTAATGAGCCAATAGAAAATTTTGTTTTGGAATATAAATTAAATGAAGAAGAAGAAAATAATAATGTTTTTGTAAGTTTAATAATAATAAAAAAATAAATACATATTAAATCTTGGGTATTTATTTTATAACTTTAGAGTTTGATAATACAGTCCGTCTCTTCTATCTGGGCTTTAGTATTAAATATTTCTTAACCAAAAAACTATAACTACAGTATTTTAATTTAAATTAAAACATGCTCAATTATTTAAGGACAGTGATCTTTAACTGAGAATTTGTTTTATATACTTAAGAACACGGACTGAGAGAGAGGCGGGGGTTATACTAGTATCGAGATCGATATCTTGAAAAACATGGATCTCGTTAACCAAGATTTTTGTTCAAGATGTCATTTCGGCCCGATACCGATTATTTTTTAAATTTATTGAGAAAAATTCAAATATCCAATAATCATTATTTTCAGAATTTAACAAACAAATTACTTCATATATGGATAACAACAACACCAACAACAGATTCTCTTCCAAAAATATTAGATATTAGCCCCCATTATTTAGCTCCAGGAGATATAGCAGAATTATGGCTATTAAATCCAACAAAAATTTTAAAAGAATATTTTCATTTATTTCCTCTAAATTTTAAAATTTTTGGTCAAAAAGTTGACGAAAAAGGAAAAGAATTTAAAGAGAATAAACCTTTTCTAATTTTTGATGGAAATTTAGAATTAAATGGAGAACCTGAAAAAGCACCAAAATTCGAAAAAAATAGTTATAATTTTAATTTAAATGAAAATGAATTGGATGGATATAAAATTGGGAAAGTAAAAATTTTTGGGGAAGAGGAGGTAATAATTAAAAATATTTTCTTTTGGAAAAGGAGGAATCAGTATTTTTAAACTGTAAAATATCCTCCTGTTATAATGTTAACCGTGTTGTTCTACATTAACAAAGGAAATATTGTAGGCTGAGTCTTCCTATCTTATTGACAGAACAAAAATTAACAGTAAATCTCGACGAGCTGAATCGAACCCTACCAGGGCGTCCAGGATTCGACAATTTTGAAGAAAGTTATAGCTCGGCGGTACCTTGGCCTGCTCCCACCTAAATGGTGTTATGATTATGTGGGTATAGAAAGCAGGTATCGGTTCTCTTCTGCTTCCGTCTTTCGGTTTTAAAAATTCGGCGGGGCTCGACCATGGTAAGAGCTTATGTTAGGCAGCTTCCCCTCCATGACTAAGCAAATAAAAAATTTTAAATTAGTGGGTGTAAACTAGTCAACTCTAATAATTATTCGTTTTATTTTCTTCAGTCTTCAACGAATACAACAACACAAAATCCATTAATTTATTCATTATTTGGTCAAGGTTCCAATTACTTCAATATAGACAATAATGGCCTTTTAACTCTAAAATGTCCATCATCAACATTAATTAACAATTCAACAACAACAATTTCTTGTTTAGATTTAGAATCTTCTTTAATTCCAACAACTTTTTATTTAGTTTTTACAGCAAAATATTTAAATTCTTTTGGCCCTTCCTCCTCCCCAATTTCTTTAATAATTAATGTAAAAGATATTAACGATAATAAACCAATTATTAAATTAATTGATGATGAAAATAATAAAGAAATTTTAATTAAAAATGGACAAATAATGGAAGGAGGTCCTAAAACTTTGGCTATTTTAGATAATGATAGGTAAATAAATTTAATTTCTTTTTTGGAGAAAATTAAGTCTTAATTAATATGGTATATGTAAATTATAGTTGTGCCAGTTTCGTCTTTCGGTTTTTAAAAAGTTTCGGCACTCGCTTGGTACAGAAAACGAAATATTTTTTAGAAAAATATTTTTTACTCAAAAATAGCTCATATTGTACAGATTTTAGGAAGTGAGAAAAATAAATCAGTATTCGAACCTCACTATAAATTTTACCCGGTACTGAATACATATATCTCAATCCTATCTAGGATACCTCCATTATAAGATAAAAATTTTTTGTTACGCGTGTATTTTACTGATTTTATTCGAAATTTAGTGTAAAAATTAACAAATCCAAGCATTTATTCATAAATTTAGAAGCTTTTACGAATGGTTGGATCCCGACCTTTCTGAGTCAGATTGGGGTTTTGGTCCAGTCTTACAAACTTAATTTTTATAAATTCTAAATATTTAATTTAATACTAGTTCTCCTCAAAATCGACAAAATAAAATATTTATAAATAACCAAAATTGTTCAAAATTATTTCAACTTGACCGTTTAAATAATTTAAAAGAAAAACAAAAATTCGAATTATTTTCTTTAAATTTAAAATTAAATGAAGAAGAAAATAATTTAATTAATTATTATAAATGTGAAAATTTGGAAATTATTGTTGAGGATATTGATGGAAGTAGAGATGTTTATTTATTTAAAATACGTTTTGAGGTAAATTTGAAAATTTTTGATACGATATAAATTTCTAAAAATTATTTTCCTTTAATTAAGTAGAATATTCTAAAAATTAAAAATTAAATTAAAAGTTGAAAAATTGAATTTTAATTATCCGAAGGATTGTGACAATATTTACATGAATTTTAAAGGATCAGAATTTTTTGGGCGGGATTTTGTGTAATTTTCGACGGGGATTTTACTCTTTTGAAGCAAGAAAATTAAATTAATTATTTTTAATTAAATTTTTCATTTAACTGTTTTTGGAGAAATATAGTAGTTGAAAAAAAATTTTTTATGGAGTAGAGTTATTGGTCATAGAAATTCTTTGAATAACCGAATCGAAAGTCCTTTAATCTTTGATTTGTTTATTCAAACCAACCTTTCTCTACACTGCTCCACATAACTATAACCTCACCCTAAATTTTCAAATTTCTTAACTTCTACCGAATCAATCGGGCTGATTTTTATTTTATATTAATTAAAGCAGGTAACATTTCATATAAACCCGAGAAATCGAAAAAATCTTTGGTCAAAAATTTTTTATTCAATTTTTTCAAAAAACACCCTCCACATAACTATAACCTCACCTTCAGAAATCATATTAGGAATGCTCAAAAAATTCTACAAAAATTCGTGCAAACATTTTCATTGATAATAAGTGGAAAATAAAAAAGAACGAAGTCTGTAAGTGCTTTTTTCATCGAGATCCAAAATCACAAAAATCAACGGGAAATGGGGGGTACAGTAATTAAAAAATATTTTCACATGTGTAGACTGTAGATAAAATTTTTTATTATAGTCCATCTGAAAGCCCACAAAATTTGCTACAAAAAACACTAGGTCCTATCCATGACAAAAATTCTACCTTTGAGGAGTCTTGGGTTAAATGAGATGGCGAATAAATTCAGCCAAATCACCGCATAAAATGTCATTATTTTGAGTTTCTAAATTTAACCGATTGCTCCCCAGTGATAAAATTTTTCTCAATGATAGGATTAAGTGTTTTTTGTAGCAAATTTTGTGGGCTTTCAGATGGACTATAATAAAAAATTTTATCTACAGTCTACACATGTGAAAATATTTTTTAATTACTGTACCCCCCATTTCCCGTTGATTTTTGTGATTTTGGATCTCGATGAAAAAAGCACTTACAGACTTCGTTCTTTTTTATTTTCCACTTATTATCAATGAAAATGTTTGCACGAATTTTTGTAGAATTTTTTGAGCATTCCTAATATGATTTCTGAAGGTGAGGTTATAGTTATGTGGAGGGTGTTTTTTGAAAAAATTGAATAAAAAATTTTTGACCAAAGATTTTTTCGATTTCTCGGGTTTATATGAAATGTTACCTGCTTTAATTAATATAAAATAAAAATCAGCCCGATTGATTCGGTAGAAGTTGTATTTAGTCTTTGGAAAATAAGAATTAATTTTTAAATTAATTAAAAAAATTTTTCTTTTTTCAGAACACAAAACAAAAATTTAATTTCGCCAAAATTATTTATGAACGTTCTATAAATTCTGATAAAATACATTCTGGTAATAATTAATTTAAATTTTGATTAAAATTTAAATTTAAAAAGGCATTCCAATAATTCAAATGCAACTTTCTCCTTTACCCCCAAAAGGAATGATTATTAATTATTTAATTGTTGATGGAAATCCTGGATGGTTAGCTATTGAACCTTTTATCGGGAATGTTTTTGTTGATAAAATACCTAAGTAAGGGAATTTTCTAAATTAAAAAGAAATTTTTTTCTAATTTTTTTTTCGATTTTTTCAAAAATTTTACATGAAGGAAGTGATACTAATAATTTAATGGTAAAACCAAAAGAAAAATTTTAATACAAGAACAGTTTACCGTAACAGTTTAACTAACTACATATAAGGGATGGATCCCTTCCACCTTCCGTTTTTTAAAATTCAAAATTATCCATCCCTGCTACATATCTTAATTTTATTAGTCATTTGTTGTGTATATATCAGGGGTGGGTCAAGTTACCCGAAACCCACCTTTCTATTTTTTTATTTTTCCCAAGTTATTTAAATATTTAAAACAGTATTTATCTAAGTTAAGGAGACTTGAAATATCCATTAAATTTGATAATTTTGATTATTATTTATTTTTTTTTCAAAAAAATTCTCAAAAATTTAATAAATTTTAAATTGTTTTTCAGTGAATTGTCCCCTTAAAAAATTTTTTAATTTATTAAAATTTCTATTTTTTTAGAGAAGGTATTCCACCAAGCAATATTTCACTAAAAATAGCAGCAATCGACAGAGAAAACCATTTAATTCTAGCCGAATCTAAATTAAATTTAGAAATACTTTCAAATAATTTAAATAATGACATTAAATCCCAAAATTTAAAAAATTGTTTTTCTTCTCCAATTATTAAATTAAATATTGAAAGATTAGAAAATGAAGAAGTGGAAGAGGAAGGAAAAGAGGAAGAAAATAAAAATATTTTAAAAAATAATTTAATTAAATTAATTAAAATATTTGAAGAAAAAGAAATTGGGAATGAAGCAAAAATAGATTTTATTGAAGCTTGGGATAATTATGCTAGACAAATTAATTTGGAAAAAGTAAAAAATTAATTTTAAAAATAATTGGGAGAATTTTGGGTGTGAAATGGAATAAAAGAATTTTTTAAGAATTTAAAGAAATATTTAAAAAAAATATTTTTTAAAGGATTTTTTAATAAATAAATAGGTAAAAAATTGAATTCATAAAAAATAATTTTTTAAAAATATTTTTTTGTTTAATTTTTCAAAAAAATACTTTGGATTTCCTTTTATGGATTAACCTTTTATAATTATTTATAAGGTAAAGTATTTACAATTATGTAATACCTGAAAAGGGGATGCTTTTATCTCGAAAACTTTTATCCGAAAGGGGGTGCTTTTACCAGAGAACTTGTACCAGAAAGGGGGACGATCGTAGTTCAATACCTTCACAAAATTAATAAAATCTTCTACTACCTATTTTCTGGAATAAGTTAGGCTTCTTTTTTTACATAATTATTTTTAGCTTTAAGAAAATAAATTTTACTTATTACCCCAAAAATTAATTTTTAAAAAAAAATTTTAAATAATTTTCAGGATTCTTTAATATATTTTCCAAAAAATGGGACAATTCGTTTAAATTTTAATTTATTAAAAACAATTAATTCAATTCATGTAAAATTTATTTTAAATAAAGAAGATAAATGTTCAACTTTATTAACAATTTCTATTAAATCTGATCCTCTAAAATTAATTGAACGCCTAAAAAAATTATCTAGACCCCGTTTTGTTGTACCCTGGAAAGATGAAACAACAGTAATTAAAGCAAAAATAGCAGAGGAATTACCGGTAAATTAATTAATTTAAAAAGAGAATTTTAATTTTTATTAGGCATTATATTAACAATTTAATAAATTATAGGAAGAATTTAACTAAAAAAATCCTCAGGGTTTTCGATTCAGTTCCAAACCTAAGAACCCTAATTTATGTAAGGAAAGGTATATTTAAGGAAAGGAATATATGTAAGATTTGATAAAAAAATATTAAAAAAATATAAAAAAAAAGCCGTTGTTCAAAGCTTTGACAGAAATAACCTCACAAATCAGTGTTAAAAAAATTTGGAAAATTTTCAACGAAATTTTTAATAATTAAATAGGAAAATAAATTGAATTCCCAAAATAAATAAATATTTTTTTTGATTTATTTTCTGGCGATCTTTTGCAGATTTTGTTCCTTTGTATTAGTAATAATTAGTAAATTCCTCTTAAGAAAACCGATGGCAAATAATTAAATAATAATTTTAAAATTAAAAAAAAAGATTGGACATCCATTGCTTCGTTTGCTTGCTTTTAACCCACTCACAGGGGCTCCAGTTTCTGTCTTTTTGGAAGGACAAAATTCAAAATCTTTTGAATATGATAAAAATACAGGTAAATTAATTAATTAATTTTTAATTTTAAAATTTATTTTTTTTAAATAAAGGAGAAATAAAAATATCCAAAAAACTCGATTTCGAACATTCTCCACGCTTTCAACGTTTTTATTTAATTGCAAATTCAACAGAAAGTGATAAATCTGTGAAAGCAAATATTGAATTTGAATTAGTTGATATTGATGATGTTCCCCCAAAAATTAAATTTAATTTAAAAGAAAATGAAGAAGTGGTTGAAAAGGAAGAAATAAAAAGGTAAAAGTAAGGAAAAATAAATAAATTATTTAAATATTTAAAATCCTTTGGAAGCTAACTACTAGAGTTCGAACCCGGGCCGGGCCCGGACCGGTTTTTTCCGGGCCCGGTGGCCCGGAACCGGGTATTTTTGAGAAAATCCGGTTTTTCCGGGCTAACCGGTTTTTCCGGTTTTATCCGGAAAAACCGGCCCGGGTGCGATTTTGAGTAAAAAAACCGGGTCCGGGCCCGGGTCTGAAAAAATCCGGTTTTTCCGGGCTAACCGGTTTTTCCGGTTTTATCCGGAAAAACCGGCCCGGGTGCGATTTTGAGTAAAAAAACCGGGTCCGGGCCCGGGTCTGAAAAAATCCGGTTTTTCCGGGCTAACCGGTTTTTCCGGTTTTATCAGGAAAAACCGGTCCGGGTGCGATTTTGAGAAAAAAAACCGGGTCCCGGGCCCGGCATTTTGAAAAGTTCGAACTCTACTAACTACATACATAATTCCTTTGAAAATTAACAATACCGTATTTTCTCTAATACTCCTTTCTGGAGTACTACTATTTTTCAACCCTCCTCCAAGGGGGAGTATTATTAAAGGGGGGAGAGTTTCTAATCCAGGAAGGGGAGGGGGGTGTAATATTACAGTAGCTTACCAAGTACTTGGCAAAATTAAAATTTAAAAAATGGGAAAAGTTGGGAGTTTCATTCAAAATTTAATTTTCGATTAAATCCACTCTTTTGTGTTTTAATTGTTACTAATCTACTTAATTGAAAAATAAGCAAATTTAAATTTTATTTTAAAAATAATTGGCAAATAATTATTTATTTTTCTAGTACTAACTCATCGAAAAATCTAGCACCAAAAATTGTTCGACTAAAAATCGAAGAAAATTCTCCCCCAAACAAACAACTAGCTTCATTTGATATATTAGATCCAGATTCCCATAAACACAATTGTTATTTAAATGGGCAATATGCCGATAAATTTAGTCTTATTAATGAAAAGCAAAAGAAAGGGGTAAGTTTAAATTAAAAGTTTTTATCTCCAACCAATATATTTTTAACTTTCAATCGAGATTGTTTAAACCAGGGTTCCGATCGACGAAATGCCAATCAAAAGTATGAAAATCTCGATTTAAGAGTATATAGGGAGAAAATTTCCAAATTTAAAGTATACTCCAAATTAAATTAGAAAATATTTATTTGTGCTCAAATCTTTCATATTTCTCTCCTAAATGAATCTTTTCTAATAATCTCTTACATTTCAATGCACTTTTTTGTGGTGCTGAAGACGCCACAAAAATGTTTTTCAAATCCAAAATTGCGCCGCAGGCGAAAATTTTGAGAATTTTGGCGGTCCTTAAGCCCGATTTCTTCCATTTTTTTCAAAATGTTGATTTCAAAGTATATACTTTCAATAAAGTATAAATTCAATTTCGTAAGTATGGGGGTCGGTTTCAAAGTATAATACTTTCAAATAAAGTACGAATCGGAACCCTGGTTTAAACGTTTTAAACAAGAAACTCCTTTCGGATTAGAAAAAGGAACAATTTCCTGTTTTGGTTTCTCATTTCTGAATTCCAAAACTCAAATTAATGAATCCCTACTTCAAATTAACCCAAACTCAAATTAATACACTAAAAGTTAACAAAAACATTCAACATTTACTTATTTGGAGTAAATATTTCCAAAAATTTTCCCAACTAAAAAAACAATTCAAATCAACAATTTATTTTTTTTACAACCAAATACAATACAAACAACAAAATATATACATTATACATGACAGAAAGAATATATGGGTATAGGGAATAGGAACAATATTATAGGAACAATATAACAAAGGAGCAATATATAGAATATTTCATATTTATCTCTCGAGCTTCGCCTTCAGAACTTCCGAGCACAGGATATCCCTAATGTCAAACTCCTCCTCCTTCGGATAGTGGAACCGAAACGCCATCCTCAATGTTTTCATCAGCCTTTGCCTCCTCAACGTTCTTATCAGCCTTCACTTCCTCAACATTCTCAACGATCACCTCCCCGTCCCGTGTGTGGTCAAATTCAATTGCAGTTGCTGTTCCATCGGTCACGGTGAACGCAGTAATGATGTTATTTCTCTGAAATATATAAATTATAAGTTGGCACTGAGAAAATATTTATCAAAAAATATTTTCACCTTTTTCCATCCCTCGAAGGTCCCAGCCCTTATACGTCCTCTTTTCTTTACTTCCTTGCTGAATTCGCGATCTCTCATCTCCATGTCAAATTGTTTCGCGCACTGGTCTACAATGAACTGCATCTTTTCTTTCGGGGTTTTATTATCGGTTCTATTCCACATTGCAGCGGCCAATTTTTCATACGGAAGCTCGTTCAGTTCGTTATGTTTTCTCTGAAAAACGTGAAAATAATTTGTTTAATTAATATATTTTTTTATTTTTAAACTTACATTCACTTTCCAAGCGTCAAATGACCTCATGTTCTTTGGGCCTTTGACTTTTTCCTCAGCTTGGTACAGAGCATACAGTTCTTCCTCGTGTTTGACTATGAGCTTCTTCTCTTCAGAATTCCTCTTCCTCCAGAACCATGCCAAAACTCCGACGATGACTACACAAACAACAATAACGGCAATCAAAATATAAAGCCATCCACGGGATTCTTCCGGACACTTGCTTTCCGCAGGACACTTCACCGCTGGTGATGAGATGCTTTTGGCCGCAGTTGTCGTCATTAGATCGTTGTCGCTGGACAGTGTCGATGTTGATGGACAAGGAGCAGATGTTGGTGGACAAGGAGCACACGTTGCAGCCTCCGTAACCGTTGGACAGCTTTTTGTTGTCGTTTTAACAGTCGTCGTTGTTGTCGCTGGCGGAGGTTTAACATACAGCAGCTCGTAGTCCTGTCTTTTCTAAATTGAATTAGTGATTATTTTAAATTTTGTTTAATCCTTACAAATCGAACGAAGAGCTCACAATGCGGCATAGACTGTTTTTTAAACGTAATTTCTTTCCCTTCGAATACAAGAGTAGAATTCCGTGAAAGCGGACTGAAGACGAGCAGATGTTTGTCACGAAGATCCGTGTTCGTGATGGTCCATGCTTCTGGCTTGACGGTTTGACCTGTCTCTGCAACACAAACAGTATCTTTCAGAGCAAATACTTCGTGTTTTTCGAAATTCATCGTGAACTTGCCAGTCGCCGTTATCTCCAAATCGAAGGTCACTTCACCATCGTCGAGAAACGCTTTCTGATCTTTAAAATACTTTCCCTGACTCAGACCACGCTCCGCTTCGTCAACTACAATAAATATCTAAATTATATAGGAAATTAGATTATTTACGCACTTATAGTTAGATGGGTGTGAGCATAGATGAAATTTGCTTCCACTTCCTTATGCCTGCTCCACGAAACTTCAAGAGATGTCCTTGTCATGCACGACGTGCAAATATTTTTACACGCCTCCATGGAATCATCATTTAGTCCTTTGTTGAGCTTCTCGATGACTTCATTGCTAACGCTGTAGACGAAGGGCACACTGTAAAATTTTAAAAAATTGAAACTAGCTTAAACGAACTAAAGAATTCTAAAATTTACTTATTATTGTAGCTATCCTCCACTTCTTTATCCCCATCAAGGCATTTTTTGATCCCTCCTCGCCTGTTCCTCACTACAGCTGTTAACTTGATCTTGTCTTTGTTCTTGCTGAGCAAATCGACAATGCACCCCTTGCCGTCCTCGTTGTACTGAAGCTCGCTGAAAAATAAATGAATTTTTATTCCAAATAAGAAACAATGCAAACTCACATGTAGTCTTTCTCGATCTTGATATCACAGGCATCCCGAAAGCGACCTTTGTATTCTGTCAAGCTGAAGTTCTTCTCTGTGACTTTGACAGCGTACGGGTTGAGCTCCACTTTGTTGCCAGTCCTTTTGTGATTGCCAAGTCCGACGATTTCCTCCTTCATCTGTCCAGGCACTTCACACACAAGGAAGGTTGCGATGACGAGCAGCAGCAATACCAAGGAGCACAGCGTTGACGATTTCCTTGTCCCAGGGCCGGTGTCAAGCTCCATTGGGAGATGGCAGCGGACGAACATGGAGTTTGCTGTTTAGCTTGTAGGCGATGTTGATGTTTGTAGAGTTGATATGAATGTTTGGAAAGGTTGGGTTAAGTTTTAAAAATTTGACGGCTTTTATAGTAAAATCTGCCCATTTTTACTTTAATTATGACGTAAGAGATGAGATCACCGTAAAAATACATGATCCGGATCTGTTTGAAACCGGTCGAAAAATCGGGTCTTTGTTTAAATTGTTAATAAAACCAGTCATTTATTTTTTAATCCAAAATATATATTAGAAGCAATCAGCAAGTCAATGGACTATTCTAACTGCCCCAAATGCTGAACAACTAGATCGAGAACAACAACCATTTATTGGTCTAGTTCTTCGTTGTGTAGACTTTCCTGGGCAAAATATTGAAGAAATTGTTATTTTAATAGAATTGGTTGATCAAAATGATAACAGACCAGTAATTAATTGGGCACATCAAGGAGAACAATATTTGGTGTTGCCATCGAGGGAATGGCCTAGAGGAGGGGCTATAACGTAAAAAATTTTTATTTTAAAAATTAAGTGGAAAAAATTTCAGTCGTTTTTGGGCTCATGACCGTGATGTTGGGGAAAATGCCCGTATAAATTTCCAACTCGATTCTGAACAATCTGGAAATGATTTCTTTCAAATAGACTCGCAAACTGGACTTTTAACAGCTTCTGATATTCGTCCATTGAGTGAATTGTATGAAATGTTGGGAGGTGAAACGTTTGAATTGAAAGTTTTGGCAACAGATAATGGGTGGGGAAATAAATAATTTTTATAAAATTTTTTGTCATCTTTAAATGAGAGATATATGAGGGAAAGTTTAAAAAGCATATTAAAATCTTTTATCCCATAGATTTTATGATTGCCTGGGATTAGGATAAACTGAAGTGGGGATCTAGGATTAAATTACAGATTTAAATATTTGAAGAGTACTTAATGACCTCTAATCCCTTTTTACTTCAGAATCCACGAGACGAGGACGTTTCTTTTCTTTATGGCAATATTTTATATTTAGAGCCAAAACTTTTTACATTAATAATATAGAAAAGCAAAATAAAAAGCTAATGATGCTTGAAAATGGGAATTCTTATTCTCCTTTCTTTTATTTGAATAAAAAATTTATTTTACAATTTCTATTAATATTTTTATTAAATTATTACAAAAAACAATTTAATTTTCAGGCATCCCCCACTTTCCTCAATAGCTAAAGTCAACATAATTTTCAATGAAGAAACTAGTGAAAATATTAAAGAACTTAAAATGGTTTGGCCAAGTGTTGAAGACAATCCATTAGAATTAAAAGAAGATATACCTATTGGAAGAAGAATTGGCCAGGCCGAGGCTATCTTTATTGGGAAAAAATCAAAATTAATGGAAAAAGATGAAAATGAAATATTTTATAAAATTGGAAGTAATTTAGTTGGAAATTGGACAGAAAATGAAGAAAAGGAAGAAAAGCTTCGTATTGACGAGAAAACTGGAGAAATATTTATTTTAAAACAATTTGATTATGAAAGCCAAGAGCAATGGGCGGTGAGTAAATGTTTTGAATGGATAATATAATGAGAGTTAGACAGGGTTAACAAGAATTGTTATACTACCTTCTAGAGATCGAGATTTTTGAAAAGCCTGGGCCTGTTCCTGGGTTTCCAGGTTTGATTTATTGACCTGGGCCGGATTCTGGGCCTGTAGTCCAGAAAAAACCCAGGCCCAGGAAAAACAAGAAAGTCAAAAATTGCCTGGGCCTGGACTATGGGTACAGGAAAACCCCAGGCCTTGGTCCAGACCCAGCTCGATCTCTACAGCCCCAGCTCGATCTCTACTACCTTCCAAGGTTAGTACAATATCTTCAAAAATAACACAAAAATATTCACAGTAATCCAAAATATTTACTAAAATTTTATTCAGTAAAAACTTTTTTCCTTTAAAAATCACTCTGTACAATTGACTTTCTTGGTTTCATTTCTTTATTTTTAATTCTTTTTTCATCATTATCATAATCTCTATTGTCTCCTCTTAATCTTAAAACTGCCAAATTTAAAGCAACCACAGATCTTTTATTTAATTGTTCTTGTGATTGATGGAATAAAAATTTTGCTGGGGTCGGAATTAATGGAGATTTAGTTTCGTCTCTCATATTTTCTAATGTCCAATAACCTTTGTGGGCATCAACTGTCGATTGATCTTGTAGTGATAACAATGCTGGATAGAAGCGGCGATAGATACCTTTAAATTAATTTTTGATTTTAATAGGAATGTGATGCTACTTGAAAGGAAGGTTCCTTCTTGTTTTTAATTGTGAGGTGAATCTACGATAAGGTGGATTTTAGAGTTGCCTATTTTGTTTGTTTTTCAAGGAAATTCAATTTTTAACTTTAAAATCGGCCATTATTTTATCAAAACACAAGATTCCACCCAAAATTACCTTGAAAAGAATCAGTATCTGCATCCCTCGCACAACTCTCTTCAGTTCTCGATTTTGCCAAAACTAAAGGAAATGGAGATATATTAAATGTATTCCATGGATCAACAATATTTTCATAGCAAGAATTTAACCCCAAAATGCGGCGATTGTTTTCTCTTAAAGCTGCATGCAAACATTCCTTTAGCCTTGAAAATGCAGTGAATGCTTATTGTAAATATTATTTGTATTTATTTATCATCTAATTTTATCTAATATTATCACAAAATATTTACAATAGACTGAAGAATTTCATCTACTATTGAAATTCAGATATCCCAGTTTATATCCTCCAAATACCCAAAATCCTTGTTCTTTCCCTATACATATTTCAATTAATTCTCCTTAATATTCAATTCCTATCTTGCCTTAAATCGAATTTTTAATTTAACAGTCCTTCAATTTTTTCTATTATCACAAATTCTGTTGACAGCTTTCCTCTTTTAATTTTTCTAAACATTCCCTATACCCTCTCATACATATGTCACCAACCTCCCCCTTAAAAGTTAAAAGAATTTTGACTTTCAAACAACATACTTTATATCCATTTGTCTACTTCTAAATCTTTCCGGAACAGACCAATGTACCTCACAAGCTACAGCTAAAAGTTTTGAATTAATTCCCATCCAATGTATCAATTCATTTTCTGTATCTTCAATTATAGAACTTAATCCTCCTCTCGATTCAAAAACTGCCGTAACATATTTAGTTTCTGTTATAAATTCTTTTAATCTTTCCAAATGTTCAACAGCAAAATTAGATAAAGATAGAGAAATAGCTTCAAGTAATGGAGAGGAACATGAAAAAGTAGTTAATGGAGATCCGGGACGAGAAAAAATATTTAAATTATTTTTTAAAATTGGTGGTGAAGATAGTTTTGGTTCTGAACTTGCTGTTTTTAATAATATATCTTTAAAAATTGAGATTTTTTATTGAAAAATAAACAGTCGGATTCTCACTATAAGATAACCTCAAAATTAGTATTAGAGACCGGACTGCGAGGGTCTTACGAGAATCATACGAAAATATCTCGAGACATGTTAAGCGTTGTTTTTGTTCGAGATCTCGTCTCGATCTGGCCTCTACTTAATACTTCTTAAGAGATGCCCACGTTTTTTTTTAATTTGGCTGGCCTGTGGCTGTCTAATGTATACCTCCAAGTTGAGATATACCTCATTATAAGGCACTTTTCAACCTCGTGGGTCTATCTTATAATGAGGGATTTAACATTGTCTTCTCTCCTACCTTCATTTCTTTGTTTATCATCTCTCCCCTCTCTTTTCTGTTTAATTCCAAAAATATTAAAATTTTGAAGACCAAAAAGTTTGGTTGTCTTTGCTGTTTTTTCTTTTTTATTATTTTTTGTTTTTAATTTTTCTGGAATATTTTTTGTTTCAACAAATTGTTTTTCTTGTTTCTTTAAATTATTTTCAATCAAAATTCCTTCTTTTTCTAAATTTTTTTGAAAATTTACTTTTAAAGGGGTTTCAACATTTTCTTCTTCTTCTTTTTTATTTTCTTTAATTAAATATTTTATTTTTCTTGGAGGTTTTGGAGGAAGTTGAGGACTTGTAGATAATGATTTTTTGTCAAAAGATTTTTTAATTTCTAAACTTTCAAAAGAAGAATAAATTAATTGTTGTTGTTCTTCTTCTTCCCCTTCATTTCCGTTTAATGCTAATTCTAATTCTGAAAGTGTCATTCTTTGCCTCTGTTTTTGTGCTTCTAAACCCGATTTTCTTGTTAATGTGGGGAATATTTCTGAATTATTTTGGTCTTCTTTTGTAATGATTAAAGGCTTTTCTTTGCCTAATTCTGATTTTGAATATTCTAATAAATTTGTGGAAGAAAAAAGTTGCTGATTTGTAGTTGTTGATATTTCATTGTTGTTTGATAAGTATGGATGAGAACTTAATTGAAATTAGAGTTCAGCGGTATCGGGATTTGAGAAAAACCCGTGATCGGGATTTACCTTTCGGTCTCTGGATCTGAAAAATCGGGATCGGGATTCAAAGAACCTGGGATAATCCCGCCCGATCCTGACCGAGATCCCGATCCCACTGAACTCTAATTTAAATAAGGAATGGTTAGGTTGAGAAAAAAGTCAGAATTTCGTGTAACCCAACCCATTCCTGATTGGAAGGGTTCTTAAATTTTCCCTTAAGGAATTCGTTGAAATTAAAATTTTAGGTCTTGTCATAAAAATTTAAGACTACTCAAAATAATTCAGTTTTAACGATAATTCCTTATTTTTAATCTATAAAATCTTGTTATTTGATATCTTTAAAAGTCTGCTTCTAAGAATTTTCAGCCAGAATTTTTGATAATTAACTTAACATTTATTTTGGTGATGCTACTTTAGTGGCCCATACACTTGCGCAAGTGTCAGGGCCGCAAATGTTTGAGCCGCAATGGGCTAATCTTTATTTCACTATACCCATAAATGTCGGCTAATCTTTATTTCAATATACCTTCCTTGTATTTTTGCGGATTCTTTTGTTTTTATTTCACTTGCCCGTTTATTATTCTGTTCGTGA